TTTTTTTAAAGGGTAAAGAAGAAAACAAAAATCTAATTAAAAATCTTAACCCAGTCACAATGGCTAAGTTGTTAAAAGAAAAAAGAACAAGAAAAAAAAAAACTAATGCTGACATGGATTAACATATATTTGCTGTTGGTGGGAATACAAGCTAGTGAAGCCAGTGTGGAAATTAGTGTGAAGGTTCCTCAAAACTCTAGAAGTAGACCTACTATCAATCCAGTTATACTATGTTTGGGCATAAACCCAAAAGACTCTATATTTTGCTATAGAGATACTTACCTATCCATGTTCATTGCTGCTCTGTCCACAATAGCTAGGAAATGGAAACATCCTATATTTCTATTAACTGAGGAACGGATAATGAAGATTTGGTACACACACAAATATATAATATTATATATATATATATATATATATATATATATACGATATATATTATGTATATATAAAATGATGTGCTATTCAGTTGTAAAGAAAAATAAAATTATGAAAGTCATAGATCCATTGATGGAGTTGAAAATAACCATTCTTAGTGAGGTAACCCAGACCCAGAAACACAAATGTCATGAGTTCTCTCTCATGTGGCAATAATTGCTTAAAACTGGAGTACCCAAAGGAAGTCAAGAAAAATAGAGAAGGCCAGGCCCTCTAAAAGAGGAAAAAGAGGTGTATAATGGAATAGGAAGGGTTAAATGAGGTAAGAGTTGGGAGGACAAGGTAGAGGAGGGATATGAGAAGAGATAAGTAATAGTAAAGACCTATGAACATCCCATACAAATGCATATTGTGGGAGCCTGTTCTCGGGTTCCTCGTGGCTTTACCCAGCAGGTCTGCATAGAGGATGATTAGGACCACCGGCCTGAGTGCAGGTGTCTGAGATGGTCTGCACTTGGCTGTGCTGGGGGAGGAGGTCTTTTGCTCCACCCCTTGGCGTCTCTATAAAAACCCTGGGGCAGAGACAGTCGGGGCCCGTTGGAAAAGGTTCCAGGCCCTCTCGAGGCTATCCTTTATTTTCTATCTGTTTATCTCCACGATAGTCTCCGCAATAAATCCTTCTATCTAGTATTTCCTGCTGCTCACACTCAAGAAAACTCTGGGGAGCTGTGGGGTTGGTGGGTAAATGCCCCACAGCATATTATTATAAAAGCTTTCTTAATATTTTCATGTACATGCATAATAGGAATTTACATTATGAGGTGCTTTGTATGGGAATGTCTGGCTAGTTTCATGTCAACTTAACATGTTAGAGTCCTTGGAGAAGAGGGAGCCTCAGTTGAGAAAATGCCTCCATAAGATTGAGGTGTACACAAGCCCATAGGCCATTTTCTTAGTGATTGATGTAGGATGGCCTAGCCCATTGTGGGTGGGGCCAACCTTGACTGCTAATCCTGGGTTCTGTAAAAAATCAATCTGAGAAAATCATGAGGAGCAAGTCAGTAAAAAAATACTCCTTCATTCTGGGAATGAGCTTCCTGCTTTCAGTTTCAGATGTGAGCTCTCAGCTTCTGCTCCAGCCGCCATGTCTGCTGCTTGCTCTCACACTTTCCCACTATGACAGACTCATCTCTGGAATTACAAGCAAGATAAACCCTTCTGTAAGTTGTCTTACTCATATGCTTTATCACCACAACAGAAATGTAACTAATACACATAAAGTTATTCTATAATGGGGCATAAAACCAATTTTATTATATTATAAGCTATCACATAAATATCCCAGTGCCAGGAATTTGCCTATTTTTGAGTTATTGATCAGTGAGGACACACAGATACCCCTAAACATTACAGGCTGTTGCAATTCCTCCTGATTTCTCTTCAGCACAAGACGAGAAGATTCTATAGCTGAACAACATAAACTTGAGTCATAGGACATGGAGAAACCAAGCTGGTGTGACCTGATGTTGCATCCCTCCTGGCTAGGTATCACAGTGCTAGAATATACTACACATGTTACCAGGGGAAAAAAGTAATCCACAACCTTACCTGGCTGTGAAACCTACCAGTTACAATAACAACTGAACTGGCAAGATGTAATGAGAGCCTCAATGGTCCCTATATATTAATTTATTAATTTATTAAGGTTTTTTTTTTGGGGGGGGAACACAGGATAAGCTAAATCCAGTTGCAGAGTCCTTGGAAAGCTGGGGATCGATCACACCCTGCTTCACAATGCCTGATCCAGACTTCACCACCCAAGAGAGCTTGACTCCTTTTCTCCTCCTTTTTAAGCAGTCACATAAGCAGATAAAGAAGCACCACCTCTATCAGGCCCAAGGTCATGGGTGGAGCAAATTCCCACTACAGCAAAATATACTCACTGGTACAATAGTGTCACAAATGTTATGGGAGTATACAACCACTTTTGGACTAGATTTCAGGCCAGTGGAACTCATGCCTGGTACTACTAACTTGGTTAAAAGCCCAGGGTTTGTTCAGTCATAAGCTCTAGGGGAGAATCTAATACTATTATTCTGCTAAATGGATATAATGTTAAATTGGTACTTAAGTTATTATTTTTATACCCAAAGATTAGTACAGCCCTCAATCTTCATCATAAAACCTTGTTTGTCAGTAGATGGTTGATTGAGACACATAGCCAGTTAGCACACAGGGAATAAGAGACTGTGCAATGCGTAGCTCTAACTGGGACATCTAAATTACAACAATACCACAAAGACCACGAGGAGGGGACAGAATGATTGTAAGAACCTAAGCAGTGAACATCTGTGTAGAAACAGTATTTGTTGTATTGACAAGTGTGTTGTACACATGGACTTACAGTAATGACGGCAAGCTGCTGTTGGATGTCTTTCTGTAGGCTGTGTGTTGCTCTGATTGGTTGATAAATGAAGCTACACTGGCCTATGGCAGGGCAGGATAGAGTTAGGCAGTACATTCAAATAGAAGACAAGATGAAGAAGGGTGGAGTCAGAGGAGACGCCAGCACACTGCCGAAGGAGCAACAAGATGCCAGCAAACCGGTAGCCCCACGGCCACATGGCAACATATAGATTAACAGAAATGGATTGAGTTAAGGTATAAGAGCTAGCTAGCAAGAAGCCTGACCCATAGGCCATACAGTTTATAATTAATATAAGCCTCTGAGTGTTTTTTTTATAAGCAGCTGTTGGGACCGTAGGGCCAGGGGACTGCAGGAAGACCTGGCCATTCCTTCATTCAAGGGTTTCTGGGTCTGTACACTGTCTCAAGTTTGGAAACTAGTTCACAGACTAAGATTTCCTCTTTCCCTGATACAGTGTAACCTTTCTTTCATTTGAGAAATTTTCTTCTAGTACAGATCAGGCAAAAATGCAATAGACTTCTTATCTATTTCATACTTGGAAATACCATGATTGATTAGCTAGTACGAAAGGTCCATAGGAATCATGACATCATAAAAATCACTTTGTCTGTGCTGTCCATTAAAATAACAATGATCACCTTGCCTTTGGAGGTTCAGTGCTACCATCTGGCCTCTGCTTCAGGGCCCAATTAGACTCATTGCATTGAATTTATTCAACTGACAGCATCATCTCCAACTCTAAAGTTGGCACAAGAAGAAAGGCAACAACAAAGTTCTTCCAATGTGCTGATATTCCTCTCACCATTTTGTGTGTTGTAAGATGAGTGATTAGTTATAAGATGTCGTGTCTTCTTATGGAGGATCGGGTTTACACAGCATGCCCACTCCAGCATTGCAGCTTCCCTGAGACTTAAATCCTTCATCAACACTAAGCCAGGAGATATCAGACATCTCCAGCTCTTTTCCAGTAGGCAATCTTTTGAAAAATGCTCAGCCAACAATTCAAACTTTGACACCCCTTTTAACTGTTCAAACTTCCATATTAAACCTAGAATCTCTACTCAGTGGTTCCATATCAATAACCTCAGCCTGATCCAGTTTGATGTTCCTTCCACCATCATCCCACACCCTTAAAATCTGTTCCCACAAACATTATCCAGACTTCTGCCTGAAAGAAATAGCAAATTCATTAAAGTCTTTAGTGGCATAATGTACCTTCTCCAGTGGTCTGCTCAGCCTTAAGTCTGGTTATAGGTTTAGAGGTCCTGAAGGGTATTGGTACTATTTTTTTCAGGAATCTCTTTCAGGGAAGGTTACAGACAGTGAAGAATTAATTTCCTCAGGAAGTAGGATTGGAATATATCCTCTGCTAAGGGTAGCGAGACTGTGTCCTTTGATGAGATTAAACCCTTCAGAATCTGAGTCCACAGCTCAATAGGGTCTTCTTACACGTCTCTATCCCAGGTACAGAATCCCATCCCTTACCAATAAGTAACCTTACTTTAATCACTGATACCCTCTGAGGCTGGGATTTGAATTTTTGTTGTAATTCAGCCAATCTTATAATGGTAGCATTTCCTCCTTGTTTTTCCACAAATTGTCAAAATGTTGTATATAGAGCCACTATTTCTTGTTCCACGTAAAAAGCATTGAGTAATTTCATCATCTGATTTGTTGCACAAAGTATACTACTTCTTCATCTGTAGATGACAAGGAACACTCTCATTTCATAAATCATGGCAAGGCAAAATGGGTACTTTACTACTCTCTAAAGCCCTGGCCAGACAAGAGGCATTTAACCCTAGAAGGCCACCGATGGTGTCCCTTATCACAAAGGATGCTCAGGAACCAACATGACCTGTTCATACAGAATGGGAATACTCAATCTAGTGGACAACATCATAAGTTTCTGTATGGACACAATGATTTCTTTTTTCCCTTCTGCATCATTATTAACTGAGTATCTCTCTCCTTCTCCTTCCCCCTCCCTCCTTCTCTCTGTCTCTATCTGTCTGTCTGTCTGTCTGTCTCTCTCTCTCTCTCTCTCTCTCTCTCTCTCTCTCTCTCTCACACACACACACACACACACACACACACACACACAATTATGTTCTTGGGTTGAATTAAGGACTGAATTATAAAAAAAAGTCCCAATGTCATTTGGAAATTGAGCTTTATTTTTGAATATGCAAATTTGTACATCCTTTTAAAAATGAAAATTCAGATTTTTATAAGAGGGTAATTACTACAATGCTGTTTATGGCACTAATATTTATGAATTTAATTCACATTAAGCATGGATGTAACCTCAGTGACTCAGGTGTCATTTTCCACACAGCAGGGGCTGTGAAGGGGAAAGCCCTCCTCAGTACACACTGTCCCCAGCCCATGCCTTCCTTCTTGCCACCCAGCAGCTCACACAATGGGGTACGTGCCATATGTAGCAATTCCACAGTTGTTGTTCCAGTCTTTGGCCATCTTTATGTAGCCCTTCATGCCCCACTCTTCACCCCAGCTGGAAGAAGAGCAGGTGCACCATTAAATAGAAAGAACACAGCACAGCAGGTTCATTACAATATTTTATCTAGCCAGAAACCACCCTTAATCAAAAGATTCAGCAAAGATTCATTTCCTGGATACCAATAGTTGAATCACACAGGACTCTAAAGATCACTTCAGAGACAGGACAGGAAGGATGTCTTCTACCTACACATGGTACAGGACTGCTGGCATTCCTATCTAAATACTGACTATAGAAGTTCAGGGAAAGGACAGGAAGGATGTCTTCTACCTACACGTGATACAGGACTGCTGGTACTCCTATCTAAATAATGACTATAGAAGTTCCCTTTTGAATTTCAAATATAAATGTTTTCTAAAATTTACCTGTTCTTGACCAGCCAATAACTGTTGCCATCTGATTCTTCTCCTTCAGAGCCATAGCCGACAACTAGCACAGCATGATTTAGGTGAACCCTCCTACACTGTGGCTCATAATAAATGCCTAAAAAAATAAAACCAAAGCCAGGGTGAGAGGCTCCAGTGACCTCACAGTGACCATGTTACCAACAATAAGAGAAGCATTTCTAAGTTCACTGGAATGATATACAAACCAGGTAAGACTAAAGAGATTTCATTATTATCAGGGCTAAGGCTGTAAACTCTCAGGTAAATGTACCAGAAACAAAATTTAGCATAAATCCTTTGGTAAATTGGTACCTTGGTTGCATGCAAGAAATCTTACTGACTCGCTTATAAGTTAGTCCAAGCTAAACCTACAGAAAACAAAAATTAATAGAACTAAAAGATCCCTTATAAGAATTATCTACATAAATGAAATATCTGATTTAAATCTTTTTTTTTTTTTTTTTTTGTTTTTCGAGACAGGGTTTCTCTGTGTAGTTTTGTGCCTTTCCTGGAACTCACTTGGTAGCCCAGGCTGGCCTCGAACTCACAGAGATCCACCTGGCTCTGCCTCCTGAGTGCTGGGATTAAAGGCGTGCACCACCACCGCCCGGCTGTCTGGTTTAAATCTTAAAGGTCAAACAGCTGGAGAAAATTCAAGTAAACTATTCCACATGGAACATCAGGCTAATTTAAAAAACATTAACCGACTCTCATTTATGGAATTATATTTAAGTAATGCAAAATAGGAAAATTTATATAAAATTCCTCATATAGAATGTAAAATCCACAAATGGAAACATTTACATTAAAATTATATAAGAAAGACATCACAAAAATGATTTGCCATGATGACAGTACAACTTTTCTGCGTAGATTCCAGAAGGAAGATACTTACCGCTCTCATAGAACTGGAAGGAACTATGGCTGGCATCAACTGCAGCAGAGATGGGCCCCACCTTAGCCACTGCCTTCATAAGGGCTTCCTCATGTCCTGGGATTTGCATAAAATCTCTGACATTAGCAGCAGAATTCTCAGTATGGTTCCTGCACTTTCTACCCTTTCAAAGTTAAGGGAAAGAAATTCATTCATTGCCGTCTACGTCCTGGAGAACACGAGCCAGAACCACAGAATTCAGCCATTGCAAATGAGGATCCTCAAATCTGTGCTCTTATAAAACATTCCAGGAAGTGAAATTCTACTGGGAAATTTGGGGCTGAAAAATAGCTCACTTGTGTTCAATGACACACCATAAGTCTTCTGTTCATAACAAATATTCACAGTGAAGAGATCTGTATTGTGTGGAGTGGCTTTCCTGTTCTCTACGTTCACAGCAGCAAGAAGGGGTCCTGGGAAAGCACCTCATCAAATAACCATACAAAGGTTAGTATTATCATGACAACAGTGATGGTTTATAGACAAATTCTACTACTTTAACGGGAATGTCAGAGAAATGCTTCATCTATCATGATGTTGACTGTGGGCTTGTAGCACATTGTAGCTCATTCAGCTATGTCCTCTGTATCTATAGATTCTCCAGGAATCTTACCATGAAGCAATGTTGGATTTTGTTACAGGTCTTTCCTGAATTTAATGAAATGATCACATAGTTTCTGTCCTTGAGTCTATGTGGTGAATTACACTTATTAATTTAAATATATGAACCAACTGCACATATATGGGATGAAGCTGATTTGATTATGGTGTATGATCATTTGGATATGTTTTAGAATTTAGTTTGCCAGGACTGTGCTGAGTATTTTGGCTTCTAAATTGATTAGAAAGATTAGACTATTAGTCTTTGTCTGGTTTTGGTATTGGGGGTACTGTTGACTTTATAAAACAATTGGATGTGTTCCTTCCATTTTACTTTATAGGATAATTTGAGGATAATTGGTTTTAGTTCTCTGTGGGAGGAATGATAAAATTCTGTGCTGAATCCATCTGGCCCTGGGCTTCTTTATAGTTAAGAAATTTTAAATTACAGAATCAATGTCAGTTGTTGTGGGTTCACATAAATTATTTACTTCATCTTGATTTAACTTTGATATGCCACATGTGTTCAGAAACCCAGACATTTCTTTTATACTTTCCAGTGCAAAAGAATATAAAAATTTTAATGCATAGACTTTGACCCACCAAATTCCCCCAGTGTCTACTGTAATATCTACCTTTCCATACCTAATTTAAAAAATTTTGGTCTTCTCTCATTTTCTGTTAGTTAATTTGACTGAAGAATTTTCAATCCTGTTAATATTTCCCAGGACCCAGCTCCTCATTTCATTTAAGTCTCAGCTAGTGCAATAAGACAAGAGAAGAAGATGAAGAGAAAACAAACAGACAAGGACATAGTACCACAAAGTATCCTCATTTGCAGATGTTGTTATCCTATACACACAAGCCCGAGAAGACTCTACCAGAAAATCCCTATAGCTGATAAACACATTTAGCAATGTATCAAGACACAAAATCGGAACACAACTATCCGTTTGTTCTGATTGACACCCCACCTATACACAACTATTGTTTGTTCTGATTGACACCCCACCTATACACAACTATCCATTTGTTCTGATTGACACCCCACCTATACACAACTATCGTTTGTTCTGATTGACACTCCACCTATACACAACTATCGTTTGTTCTGATTGACACCTCACCTATACACAGCTATCCATTTGTTCTGATTGACACCCCACCCATATACTAACAACAGACACAGAAGGAAATGAGGACACAATAGCATTCATAATTGTCTGAAAATGTTTTGGAATAAATCTAACCAAGCAAGTGAAGATTTATATGATGAAAAATTTAAGAGGTTGAAGAAGACACTAGAAGATGGACAGACACAGCCTGCTCCCGTGCTCGTGGACAGGCAGGGTTAACATTGTGAAAATGGCTATTCTGCCAAAAGCATTCTACAAACTCAATGTAATCCCTATCAAACTCTAATTCAATTCTACAAATAAATTGAAAAAAATCTTAAAAATTCCTATGGAAACACACACACACACACACACACACACACACACACACACACACACACAAACTGGACAACCACAACAATTTTGAGCAATAAAAACATGGTTTGAACTGTCATCATTCCTGATTTAAATCTTATCACAGAGATACAGTTATGAGAACAGCATCATAATGGCACCAAAACAGACATATATAACAATGGACTAGACCACACATAAACCTCCTTTCTTACCCAAAGAAGCTGACAATACCAGCTGGAAAAAAGACAGAATCTTCAACAAATGGTTCTGCTCAGACTGGATAGCTACACATAAAAGAATTAAATTAGATAATTTTCTCTCACCCTGCACAAAACTTATCTCCAGATGGACCAAAGACCTCATCATAAGACCTGATAGCTCAAAGTCATTAGAGGAGAAAGTAAGGAAACACTTCAAGTTAGACACATAGGAAAGGACTTTCTGAACTCGGTTCCTAGCAGCACAGGGCTTTAAGGCCAACAATTTAGAAAAGATGCTGAGGACCCAAGGACAAGCAGGACAGGAAACCTCACCGTTTCCAGAGGGACCTTGTGAAGTAGTATGGTGTGGAACCCAGGCTGCCAGAGGAAATGGACCAGGGTTCTCATAGGGACTTGAAAACTCGCTGCAGAGCAGGAGCCCTGTGGAATATCCCAGGAAAGTCGCCATTTGGAGAAGCATGGTGGGAGCAGCAGTCAGGGACTTGGAACCCAGGTCTCACACTGATTAGCCAGGCCTGCTCACTTTACTAACAGAGAGTCCAAGGAGCAAAGGTACCAGTGTGAGAAAAAGTCAGAGTCAGAGAGGAGCAACCGGAGAGAAATGGCTGCTTCTCAGGAAAATGTGTCCCAGGGTCTGTTGATGTTGGGGATATGGTTGAGGATTTCTCCCAGGAGCAGTGGGAGTGTCTGGACTCTGCTCAGAGGGTTTGTAGCATGTGATGTTAGAGAATTACAGTAGTCTGGCTATGTAATTAAATATGAGAATGTCTTGGATCAAGATTCAAAGCATATTATCCATCAGCATGTGAATATTCAAGAGGAGTCATAAATGGAATGAAGACAGCAAAGTGTTTCATGAATCCTCCAATAATACACTTTATGAAACAAGTAACACTATAGAAATCTGTAACAAATACAAATGCAGTAAACACAGGAATGCCTCTGTTGAATCCTCAAACTCCAATAGATATAAAAGCATATGCACTGGAAAGGAACTTTGAAATATAAAGACCGTGACAAATATTTAAACTTGTGTGCCAATTAGTCAGAATCCAAGAATTCACACTGGAAAGAAAGAACACAAACATTAAGCATGTGTTAAGTCTTTTGACTCTACACACAGACTTCTGGAGCAAAGAATCCATAGTGGAGAGAAACCACACAAATGTAGGAACTGTGGAAAATGCTTCAGGAGTTCAAGTTCACATGACAGATTTCATCCTGAAGAGAAATCACAGAAATGTAAAGAATGTGACAAGTCTAAGTGTGGGTCACACCTTAAAACCCCTTACAGGATCCATTCAGGAGAGAAACCTTACCAATGTAAGGAATGTGACAAATCATTTACTTGATACTCAAGTCTTAGGGCAAGTCAGATAATTTAGTGGAGTGACAACCTATAATGTAAAGAATGTGGTGTGTTCTTTGGTCTGAAGTTACACATTAAAATTCATTATGGAGCCCATACTGGAGAACTGCTGACATCTAAACACAATCGGTTAGTTTAAACTAGAACAACCACATTCTGTCTGGTGAGCAAATGGCTATAGATAGTTTGTTGCTGCATCAGGACTGATGAGCACGAGACAGGAGTCAGAGAAGTCAGGTAGTTATGGAATGGCCCTTAATCATCTGGGGACCCCAACCACCTGGATACCTCAATGTCAAGTCAGATGCTCTGTGGGTCAGAGCTCCTCTGCAGATGCTCTACAGGTCTCCTCTCTCGGTGTCTTTTAGAAAACTATACTAGTTCATGACAGAGTTCCAGTTTCAGGCACAATTCTGCCATTGTGACCACAACTTTCTTTTTACTTCTTAACCAAGATTATTCTCTTCATTCTATAACCATTTAAAAACACAGTCCTCGACACTCAAGCAAGATCTTCTCTTGGAATCCTTCTAGTCTTAGGAGCCATTTTTTCTTTTTATTTGTAATAAATGTTGACTGAAGTGCTGAACTCTTTGGGCCTAGGGTTCTTGTTTCATTGTCTATAGATAGGATTCTGGGATTACAACAGTTTATGGGTACAACTTCTATAGGTCTCTGCCTGCTGCTGTTACACATCCACTCTCTATTAGCAAGGCATCATTAATATCTTGTTCTATGAATGATTTGTGACCCAGGAGAACTTAATTACTGTAGTGCAAATGCAACTGATCTTTCCTTTGGAGTAGGATGAGAAAAGCACTCACATATGAGGTAGGGGTTCTGTGATCCACTCCTTTCTGCTAAAGAAAGGCTATCCTGAATATTTTCAAGAAAACATTTTATGAGCCTGGCATGGTTATGCATGCCTTTAATTCTAGTTCTTGGAAGGCAAAGGCTGCCACAGATAGGAGAGCTTGGTCCATGAAACAAGACTCCGAGTCAGCAATGTGGATTTTCAGCAAGGGACAATGAGGACCCAAAGAGCAGGCGAGAACCTCTAAGGATCCGATCCAGAGCACTTCTTGTGCTGAGTTTGTGTTAGGGAAAACCTCATACAAAGATACTATACAATCATTAAACTGTGTTTACAGGGAATAGAAGGTTTTGTTAATAGATCACTAGGGGGGGACAAAGACAAGGAAATAAGAGTAGAAAAATATATGGAAACAAACAACAAAAAGCTCAAACCTCTTAAGAAATAGCACATTCCCAAACCCTTATACAGATCATTTCTCTCTGTCATTAGTGTGCAAAGCATCAGAGAGCCCCTGGATATACAATGAGTTTCTTTCTCAGACTATACTATTGGTAAGAAAGGGCAGGCAGACGGCTCTGTGAGTTCACAGCCAGCCATTGCCAGCTGAGGCTGCAGAGTAAGATGCTGTCTCAGAACCAAACCAAACAAGAAGGCATTTTACAAGTTGGTGAAAAATATTGCCAAATGCATGGAATTGTTGATCACCATCTTCATAAAGTAGAATGAATGGGTGTTTTCAATAAATTTTACATGGAAAGAAGTACGGATGTCAGAGGAAAGTGAAAACTAATCTGGAAAAATGTATGATTGTGTATCCAGTATGTCCCCACAAAACTCACTCCTTTGCTTCGTGGTTTGGGAAGATAGGGACCTCCACATTTCCATACCATAGTAAATGTTTTCCTTCTATGTTTATAATCTGTATTTTTAAATAATATATCATTTAAAACTCTGTGTAAGTGGATTTTATCTTAAATGAAACAGATGTTTTTAATAGTTTTACATGAAAATTCAATGAATAAATATGATCTCATCTTTTTTCTAATTCCTTTGAAAGTTTTTTTATTCTATTATTTGTTGTGTGTTCTAGTTTTGCCTACATATATGTCTGTGCACCACATGTGTGGCTTATGCTTGTAGAGAGCATGTGATTTCAGATTTATAACTGGCTACTAGCTGCCATGTGGGTTCTGGGAATCAAACCTGAGTCCTCAGGAAGAGCAGCCAGTACTCTTACCTGCTGAGCTATCTCTTCAGCCCCACCTCACATGATCTAGTCTTGAGAAAAAAGACCAATAACGGACACAGGTAGGACCTCAGGAAACTAAAACCCTTCAAAACATCAAAGGAAACCATCATTCAAATAAAGAGGCAGCATGGGAACTTTCTTTAAAGTTATATATCTGATAGATGATTAATATCCAGAACACACAAATATTTAAAAAACCATGAAAACAAATACCTAATTAAATCTGAGGGGATTAGAACTAATCAGAGATCTCAAAAGAAGGAATAAGATAGCCAAGAAATACTTTTTAGTATGTTCAACATCCTTAGTCATCAAGTAAATAGAAACTAAAAACTGCTTTGAAATTTCATCTTACTCTGGTCAGAATAGCTAAGATAATAAAACAAATGAGTAAAATAGGATGGTACAAATGTGGATAAAGGGGAATACTTATTCACTGTTGGTGGGAGTGCTGATTAGTGGAGCACTCATGGAAATCACAGTGCAGTTTCCTCAAAAAGCTAGAGATGAGTTTAACTTATGATTCGGCTACAGCACTTTTGGACATATAACCATAGAGTTCTATGTCCTAGCACTAAAGTACTTGCTCATCCATGTTTGCTCCTACTTTATCCATAGTAGCCAGAATATAGAAACAGACTAGATATCCATCAACTTGTAAATGGATAATGAAGACTTGGTACATATACACAGTGGAATATATTCAATTATAAAGAAAAATGAAATTGTGAAGTTCATAGGCTAGTGGTTAGAACTGGAAATAATTCTGAATGAGGTAATCCAGACCCTGAAAGACAACTGTATTAGGCTCTCTCTCATGTGGAATGCTAGCCCAGGTTTAGGTATCATTGCAGAAGCGGGGAGGCATTCTAAAACAGTGTAAAAGCTAGAGATAGTGGACATCTGTAACAAAAAAGTACATGTTGAGACATGGTAGGGACATTGCACACATGAAATTACAGAGTTGTGACTGTAAACACATGATCTACACAAGATCCACCCTGCCAAAATACCAACATGGACAGTGGGGAGGATCATGAAGTCCCACCCCTAACTGTAAAGCTATTGGCAATTGATAGCTGTTGTAGGAGAAGAGTAAGTTTTCTTTAAGAATGTAGCCCCTGAGAGTTTACTTATGCTCCAATAAATGGTCCTATACTCCTGTACACACATGTAGCATTATGTGTGCTTAATGGGTCTAATAAAAAATAAAAGCCCAGGAAGTAAGGAAGGAAAAGTGTTTGGGGGTGACAGAGGAGAAATTAGAGGTAGAGGGAAGGTATAGATTTGATGAAAACATATTATATGCATGCATATAGTTCCCTAGCAGTAAAAAAATAAATCAATAACAATGTGAGTTTGAAGAGAGCAGATTGCTCTGCAATTGTTCTGCTTTCCACCGAAATGGCAAGAGCACAGGAGTTCTACTTACTCGTCCTTTGTAAGGATAGGACTCCTCAGTTGCCAAGCCGCCACTGTCCTTCACATACTGGAAGGCATACTGCATGAAGCCACCACTGCAGCCATGGGTAACATTAAATCCCATGCAGTCCAGTAGGTTCTGTTCACTCAGAGGGACCAGTCTTCCTGTTTTCCTGAACATTTGTCCTTCCAGGGTTCCAGTTGCACTAAAAGCCCAACTAGAGGCACAATGACCCTTAGGGATAAAGCAAAAGCTGTCATTCATTCACAAGTCCAGTAACAGATATTTGTGAACAATTCATACATAAGAATACTTTTATAAACCAGTGAACTGCATGTTGCTCCACAGTCTGTAAAAGCAAAGATGATATTTGTTTCATAGCTTCCTGTTAGTAGTGAAAGTTGGAAACATCACACTGCCTTACCTGATTTTTCACAGGAGTCACATAGCCTTGCTTTCTCCAATCCACATATTTGGGGACAGAAAGAAACAGATGATCCTGGAATATGTGCCTCTTCTTGATCCTCTGCCTTCGAAAGCCAGTCATCATTTTCCCAAATTCTGTATTGGTCTTCAGGAAAAGTCAACAAATGATTGAGGGTATTTATAAAGAGCTGAAGAGGAGAACTACTCTGTTATGTAATTCATGTCACACTCACCAAGTCACCAAAGGCATTCATTGCCATGGTGAAGTCATGCTTCCCCTTTAGGTATTCCCAATTGTGGAGCTCAATCATTTTAAAATTCTTCTCCCATACTGTTCTTCTCAGTCTTTCTTCATTCTGGAAAAAAAATATAAGTTGTGATCTTTTATTCTATTCTAAGTCCAACCTAAGTTCACTCCGTGGACCTTCTGTTGAAGACAAACCATGACAAAGGAAGGTTGTACTCTTCTGGAAGCCATTAACCACACCACCCAGAAGCAGTAGAGATTTTGTCATATAGTACACATGATGTATGTGTTTAGGTTAAGCCTTGAATAGAGCTGGATTCCAGAACCTATGGTATGGCCATAATACACAAATACATAAATACACAAAGTCAAGACTATCGTCGATGGGGATTTCCCTGTTACTAACTGTGTTGTATGTCTTCCCATGTTTTGTCTTCCATTCATGCCATTCAACATCCAAACTGGGATCAAGTGTTGGAACAGTTGAGTCGACTTCCAAGCAGAGGACGGCTAAGAACAGAACAGCAATCATGTCTCATACGCCTAGAGAAGGAGAAATGAGATTCCAATTACATCAATGCTTCAGAAAAGCCTTCTTATTCCTACCTAGAAATCAAAACCGTAATGGTACAACAAAATTATTTAAACTGTCCTAAGAACGTACTATGAAAAAGGTTAAAGATCTGGTTGGCTTAAAGCAAGACATAGGAATTTGGTTTATCCACTAAAATGAAGAGCAATTCATCAGGCTCCAGTAACTGGACTGTGTGTCCACTGTGAACTTAGCTCATCACAGGGTGTGGATGCACCTTATAGTTTAGAAGTTTAAAGCAAAGACTTAAGACATAGTTGGCCCAGGTTTTGTGCCAGTGGTACTGAGATCACATGAGTAAAATTTCACTAGTGCAGAATATGATCCCAAGTAGGGAGAAATATAACCCTGAGAGTTGGGGGCCACAAGAAGTCTTTTTCTTGGCCTGAATGCACCAGGAGATGTCTTGGCACATTCCCTTCAGAAATCTTTTGGAAACATTCTCTGTTGACAACCATAGAAAGACAACATGCATTAGTTCCTATTCCCTTTACTTTGGAATGTGACTGAAAAGTCCATTTCACCTCAGTGAGGCCTTATAGCTGAGATCCTGCATGCTGGAGTCACCAGTGCTGGGGAGGTCATGAGAGTCAGTCAGTTCCAGAATTCTAGGTTAAGTTTTGAAATCATGTGTACACAAGCAACGTGAAATGGGCCCAGAATGTTGTATTTACGTATTTATGAAATATATGTAACCATAATAATAAACAGGAAAAGTCTATGAATTTGAGAGGGAGTAAGGGGAGGCAAAGGAGGTATTGGAGGGAAAGGACGCTGGAAGGGGAAAGGGAAGAGAGAAAACTACATAATTATATTTTAACTTAAACTTTTTTAAAAAATAAAGAAAAAAAGGGCCGGGAGGTGGTGGCGCACGCCTTTAATCCCAGCACTCGGGAGGCAGAGCCAGGTGGATCTCTGTGAGTTCGAGGCCAGCCTGGTCTCCAAAGCGAGTTCCAGGAAAGGCGCAATGCTACACAGAGAAACCCTGTCTCGAAAAACCAAAAAGAAAAAAAAAAAAAAAAGAAAAAGAAAAAAGGGTGTAAAATACAGTCAGTAGGTGAAAGAGACAAGTTAACAAGGACATAAAAAATGAGGCTGTATTTGGTTGAAAGATTGAAAAGGAAAAGAGAATGATTTAGATAAGAATGAATTTTATACCATAAAACAATTTTCACTAAGAAGGCTCGAATATGAGAGGAATACCAAGAAAGGTTAAAGACAGATGGGAAACAGCCTGAGTAAATGTGTCAGGTGTGTGGCAGATGAGATTTACAGATGAAAGATAATGGATGATTAAAGGTTATTAAAATTTCTAAGATCAAAATTCAATGCACTGATATCAAACTTTTCTTTAAATAAGTGGAATTCTCTTAAGATACTGGTTTGCTCATAGTAACACATACAAAATTTGATTTAAAAATTAAAAAGTATGTGTAATCAACACAATTACTTATGATTTTTGCTAATTTTGTTAGATTTTAACCATTTGAATAAACAGTCTTAGCAAAATCAATATTCATTAAAAATTGTTGACTTTTTGTCTAAATTTATCTAAATGTAACAGGAAAGTTAAAATTTCAATAATGGTAAAGCTGCTCTGGGTGGGCAATTCCAAAGCTTTAGGGCCTACACCAACAATGACCTGGTGGTCAGGGAAAACACTCAATATTTTGGCCGTTATAATCCCTGTCAGCCAAGACCCCAGAGAAGATGGGACCTGTCCTCTTCACTGGGGACATGATGTCTCCAGCCATGCTATCGGAACCAGGGTACACCCTGCAGGGAGAAGAGTCAATGGAGATTGACACATCCCCTGTGCTTCTGAAGGAAGCCTCATGGTCAGCAGGACCCTGACCCAGCCATTGAGATGTCACAGCAGAGCAGAAAAACTAGAGAATTCAGGGGCTCCTCCTAAATCACTAGGAGTGAGCTCTAAGATGTCTCAGTAGGCTTTAAATGTATACGGCATTAATCTGTGACCACCTACATGGTCTAAACATCCAAGAGCAAAGTGTAGCCAGGACTACAAAATAATCCCCCTAGATTTGGCCAATTCAAATGCCAATTTTTTTCTTTTGGTTTTTTGAGACAGGGTTTCTCTGTGTAGCTTTGGCTGTCTTGGAACTCGCTTTGTAGACTAGGCTGACCTTGAACTCACAGAGATCAGCCTTCCTCTGTCTCCAGAGTGCTGGGATTAAACACCAAAAAAAAAAAAAAGTGATCCTTATCTAGGATCAAATACTCTTTTCCAGAAGATGTTCAAAATGAGAAACAGGAAACACCTACTGGAACAATAAGTCATTTGAGAATTGACATACTCTCTTCAAAATGGACACCACAGGTTAACTTGAGATAAGTGTCTGTGCCCACCAGGCAAAGTCTTCCTTAAGTACTTCCTGTTTCCTTAAATAGGTAATTAGGTTTACCTCTTCCAGTATTCAATAACTTGCCCTTGCAACATCTTACTCGACATTGAATCTTACTATTTTAATTTTTCTTTGTTTCTTTGGTCTTGGTTTATTGTATGAATGCTGTGAACTTTTGTAACCAGATGTCCCTTGTGGTTCAGAAGTCTAAAGCTTGAAGTACTTGGGGTATTCTTGGCTTAATATTTGGACCAATAGCACTGAGGTCACTCTAACAAACCTTTCCTAACGTGACATCTGACCTCAAGTACAAACAAAGGTGACACCAGGAGTCTGGGCACACATAACACGCTCTTTCAGACTAACAGAACAGGAGACACAGTGTATCTTTGAACTTCCCTTCTGGAACAAAAACTTCTTGCTGTTTCCTCCCTAAAGAATAAGGGAAGGACAACATCCACTAGTCCCTCTATTCTACACTTGGGACTGTATCTTCAAACTTTACAATCACTTTTAAAATATGGAAAGAGGTCACATGGCCAAGGAACTGGAAGCCAGAAACACCAGTGTAAGTGAGGCACAAGGGCAGGCCACTCTCAAGATCAGGCTCTCAACACTCCAGGTATGGCCAGGCCAGGGGTGTATCACAGGCAAGAAAATGATGCCTAGTGATACAAGGAGTGAAGGACACAGAGCTTGTGAACAGGGGATACCTGAATGCCTCTGTGGTCAGGCCCAGCTTTTCTCAGTAGGCACTAGCACAGAGTGGGGACCTTGGGGGATCTGATTATCTTTTAGCTTTCTCTTCCTCCCACCCCGGCTCCCCTGCACTGGGGCTGGAGAGGTTGAAGAGATGTTGTCATCCCTGAGGGATGTGCCTGCTTTCCTGAGAGAGTCTATTCAGGGCTGTTCTCTAGTTGAGTTCCCGATCTACCTTCCCTGGCCTAGTGGACTCACCTGGGATATCCGCTGCTCCTCAGATGCCCTCCACAGACTTGAGATTCAGAGGTCCACAGGTCTGTCTTACTGCTTCTCCCTTAGACTTTAACAACTGAGTCTTTGCCTAGGAAGCCCCACCCTGGAGTCCTGTCCTTCTTGGAACAGGATGTGTCAGTGAGTAAACCAGCCCCCTAGGCCTCAGGATTCCAGGAATGTATCCACAGCTGATCCCATCCCCTCATGGGACAATTGGTAGGATGTTACTGTTAGGCGATGTGACAAATCAGCCTTGAGACTTTGAATCCTGAATTGTGTTTGGAGGGTTTATCAGTAAAAATGTTTCCAGATAATTCTGTGTGTAATTTTAGCCCAACATTGATTTTACTTTAGAAAAAGTGATTTTGGTGAAAATATCTTGGAATGGGCTCAGTCAGTATACTCTAAGGCAGTGTTTCTTGTTTAAGTTAAGGTTGAACCCTGTGTGTACAGATACTAGAGCATTTTGACTTCAGTGTTGGGTAGAATACAGATGTCATTAGAGTCTTAGCAGAAGACCATCTCCAGTCAGGAGTGACATGATGAAGGTCAACCCAACCCTAGATGGGAAAAGGAACAGATGATGTACCAGGTTTCCTGACACTGCCTGGCATTTGGAATGACTTTGCTCTGTCTCCTCACTCAGGAATTATTCCTCCTCCTTGTCTTCAGCAAATAAGTCATGAAATATGAGTCATTTTCAAAAAAACATGGGTACTAAGTGCAGAAAAGTGACCGAGATCTTTGGAAAACAGCTTCCAATTTTCTCTGCATTTTGTTTTTCGCTTTTCTCAACATTCATTCTGAGATTTAATTCTAGAAACTTACCTTCATGAGTGTTAATATCAGAATTTCAGACAATGAGAACTGAAGAGGTTTCAGAGAGATAAAAACAGTGGTGGCTAAGTGTACATGTATAAACTTAGCTCCTACAGTTCAGGAAATAAAGAACACAGCCCCAAATGCAATAAAGTTCGTAATTTTCCTAATTATATGAATATATATTCATTATAGAAATTGTTCAATTAATTTATCATGTGATTTCATGTCATTTTAAAACCATATTTTTATTTGTTTGATAAAAGTGGAATCATTGTGCACTCACACTTATGTACTAATTTTTGCTTGAGGTTAAACTGATCTCTCATCTAGAAACATAACCTGAACCATCACTCTCCATGTGGTAAAATATTCATAACATGAAAGTTCCCATCTAAGCCATGGTGGGTGCTCAGCTCAGTGGCACTAGGGAAAATAACACTGATACATAAATATCACCAGCATAGATCTCAATGATACTGTACTCATTAATCAGTAATCTTCCACTTTATTCTCCCAAACCTTCCATCCAGCACTGCCTTTTCTGTGTGCATGAATTTACCTCCTTCTATGGGTTAAGCATTTGTCTCCAACCACAGCCATGTTGAAATGTAATTGTACTTATAACAGCATGAAAAAGTAGGAGCATTAAGAGATAAAGTGGCTCCCAAAGCATGTGTCACTATTTACCTGCAGCCTAAGGCTATTAGTGTTCTATTCCATTGCAAGCGCCTGTTTTCCTAGTCTGTTAATTGCTTTATAACATTTGTTTTCTTCCCC